AAAAAAAAACGAAATTAACCCAGGCAGCTTTTACACGATAAAAATAAACCTCCACAACTAATTGGACAATAGTTTGAAAATGGTAGAACATAAGATGTTAGGGCACTGGCAATGGTCCAGAGGCAATCCGTGGAGACTGGTTTAAAATAGCAGCACAATATTGAGTTCGTCTTTGTCTCTCATGAGATTGTCGCTCAATGGCTGTAAAAGAGGAGGAGTTTACGTATAAAAACCTGATTTTTAGCAGTTCAAGCCGCTCTTTCTAAAAGCACAAGTTTTGTAGATAACTTGCTGGAAGTCCACAATTTTCCATAAAACTATTTCTGTTTTGAAATTTCCCGGCATTTATTTTGAAGAGAGCTTTCTTATCAAAATAGCAAAAAGAATTTTTACTACAGCACCAAGTAGAATTTGTTAAACATGATCTGCGCAAGTGTGGCTGTGTTCTTAGAACATCACGTTCCATGTAACATAGCCTTTACGAGTTTAACTTGACCGGGTGAATTACTAGCAAACAACTAAGCCCCTTCCATAATAGAAAATATCTCATCATCGATCTAGCGTTGGCTTTGGATATAAAGCCGATCAGTAAATAGATTAATCTCGCTGAGTCCCACCCTTCCGAAAAGTTTTAAAGAAAGAACAACCAGTGATTAGTACCAGAAGATGAATGTTGAGCTACAAAGGTTCTATAACAATTGTAGAATCTACTAATTCATTAGGGAAGAAAATCAGCACTAACCAAGCGGAAAGCGATAGTGTTTCTTGCAGGTTTGCCATGCTTATTGGCAGACCCACCTTGCTTACTAAATACCCTTGTTTACTAAGCTGAGCAATTTCAATTGTTCAATTTCAATCGCAATTTGGTTTAAATTGCACAGTTTAATGCCCCTTCGAAATAAAGAGGCAACAACCGAATCATCTACGTAATGAAGAATCTTTTACAAAATGCACCAAGAGGCATACAGATCTCAGCTCTGCCTTAACACAAGATACAAGCAGAACCTCGAGCTACGTAGTAGCGGATCAGCACACACATATTTGTTTACTTATTCATTTACATATTTACTTGTTTCTTTATTTACTTTTATCTACGTCTAAATTTACATAAATGTACCCAATTAAATTTACTTCTTAGCATATTGGGACGTGGTTTATTTGTTCTGCCTCTGGGGTATGGTTGACGATTTTTTCACTGATGTCGGCTCTAGCATAGTTTGAAAATCAACACGGGACGAAGACTTAAGCCTTAAACTTTATCAGAGGCTTACAGTTAATCAGTGGCACTTAGTACTGTGAAGACTTAGGAATAATTTCTCCATTTCAGAACAAGCTGATATACGAATAAAAAAAGAACAAATGAGCAAACAACAAGTGGCACCGGACAATAACCACGGAGTCGTGATTTACAAGCAAAAATAAATAAAAAAAGTGAAGCCAACAGTACATGTCCAAAATTTCGAATAGTTCTCTCATACAACCCCTTGGAATATCTTTCAACCAAATATAGTAAAAAAATGGAGCATGAAATGGATCAAATAAAAAGAACTGAGATCAAAAAAGCGAACAACAAATTCAAATCATTTAGGCAAAAAAAGAATGATTCTCTTGAAGTACTGATTTACAAGCTATATTAACGCTACAAATGAGATTAAAACTACCAGATAAACTTTGGTGACTCAAAAAGTAGAAAAACTCACAGGAGCTATAAATGACTGCTAGCGGATTCTAACGGAACAAGCAAATGCATATTCTATTTTTTGAAACAAATTAAACACTCTGCATTTGAGGGAGTTACATTTGCACTTCGAAAAGAATCAAAATGCACAGTTGCAGAACCGCCCTAAACAGTTAGAAAAGTCGGACGTCGTTCATCCTGAAAAAGACGCAGCTCCTGGGAGTTCGCTGAAGAATCATGAGTACCGGCTGTGTACTGGTCACTCTTGCAAAAAAAATAGACCTCCATCCACGTATGGAAGTGGGCTAAACTGCCAACTAATAACAATACAATGGATACCAAGTAGTAGTAGAATGCAGTCCCAAGAGAGCACTGAAATGACGACTTATTTGACATTTTTTAAAGGCCACCAAAATGTCAGAATACTCCTTACAACTTATTAATCCTAAACTTCGTCGGGACTGATTAAAGGGTCTTTTTTCAAAATCATGAAGGTTTTGGAGACGATTAAGTGGGAATAATTTGCTATTATAAAGTCTTACCCTTCCTTTTCCTACAACAATATATGAATAACTAGATATGAATATCGGCATCGCAGCAAAGCAGTTAAGGAACACTGAAAATTACTGAACCTGTTTTTCAAAAACTGTAACAGGAAAGATGAAAACTTCAAATGTTAAAATACAAGAAAGATAGTCTTTCATGTACAAGTTACGTGAGAACATCTGAACCAAATTTTAGCGCAAAATCAAAAAATAAAAGACCATCTCCTCTGCACGTTCTCTGTAGCAAAGAAAAATTACTACCTAATATATTCAACAAAATATAATTACGTCCCTTGAAATGAACTTCTCATAATGTAAGCCTTCATACTGCAGCAAAAATGTTAATACCCAAAGATCTTTAGCTCTTGCTTCTAAGAAAATAACGTCCTTACTTTAAATATAACTCTAATACAAGTGACATTATATCTACTTTCCGGCTATAGGTTAAAGAACAACGAAGAAAGGTTTAGAATGTCTCAACCTCTAAATGCAACTTTATTGACAACTAATTTTTGTCAAGAGTTATGAGAGGAGTGAACAAAGGTTAAGTTGGCGTTCATCAGATTTTGACAGACTGTAACAAACAGCCACTTCTAGAGTGTTCAAGTCTAAAAAAGCGCAAAATAAAACTCAAGAAGGCCCAGTAGGTAGAGTCACAGACGGCTATGCAGTGTTTGAAAACTTCAATTCCAACCTACCCAACAGCACAGTGAAACCGCATAGTAGTTTCTTGATGAACATATCTTTCTTAATACATGCAATGAAGAGTAAAAATATGACGATAAGGTACAGCAACGTTGTTAAGATCAGCATGACTCGAGCGAGCATCAAGCCTGAAAACGTGGGACCCATCAAAATCCTGACTGTAAAGGTCAGAAAGATGAAAGCACTGCTTAAGTATCTTTTTCAAGAATTGACAAATTAAAGAAACAGGGTCTTTTGTTATTATTTGAAAAATTAGTTTGAAATCTTTTAAAGCCAATAGTTATGGTAGACTTTGCTACCAAGGGCTCTTGACATCCATTTTTGTATATTGAAACTACAGCGTACTTTACTATAAAACTAAATATCAGGGAAAAGCCCTAAGTATTCCAAAATTTTTAAGAAGTAAGAAACTGACGTACACCTAACAAAAAATTTTTTCCTCAAATTTAAGTTCCATAAAATTTAATAATTCTTAACAACTCTTAACGCTACAGCAAATCTAAAAAGCATTCTTAGCGACTACACAATTTCTCCAGCTAGAAAGGAATCTCTTAATCTCTTGCTAAACTTGCGCTCTACAAAAACAAACTACTGTAAAGTTCGTTTTAATGAATACCAATTACCTGTAGTGGGAGAAGTTACTTCATCAGGTGATATATCTTTTCCGTGTTTCACAAAGACGCTTGTTTCTTCATCCCAATTCGAGCAATAAATTGCATCTGACTCATCCTCGACTTTTAAACAATCATCACCTAGACCTCGCTAAAAGAGTATGACCACTAAATGAAAACATTTTTTAAATACAAAAAAGGTAAAAAAAAAATCATTTAAAAAATCTTTCAAAAAAATTATTCGTCTCAGGAAGGGGTCAGGACGATCAGGTCTGCTAATATTGCGCATGCGCCCCCTCATCAGTGATATTTTAAAACTGAATCACGTAGCAAAACGTAGTGTTCTTTGTACTCCGTTTAGTCCAGCTATCTTTCCCGGTTCATCAGTAAACAGGATCTCTATGGCCCTTGTCATTTAAATTTTCGCTCTCTTTTCACGTGCTTTAGCCCTACACCTGGTACTGTTGTCCAACTGCGCTATCATTTTTCCAAAAAACCTCTATTTTCAATTCTTTTTTCTCAGCGTCATTCGACACTTGGTAAATGCCAGTAATCTAAAAGTAACAAGAGCTCAAAATGTGTCTTCACCTTTCCACTTTAGAAATTTAAAATGACAATATGGAACCTCAATACAATATGAAGCCCAGATCATTCTTCATGAGTAGATTTTACATTCTCTAAAAAAATTAACTAATCAGGTGAGTCATAAAAACTCTTGAAAAACTTGTATCGCTGTTGTGAGTTTTTAAAACTCTACTCTCAGCCATACAAACTTAATACGCCCCCAAACTTTAAAGTACTTCCCTCCAAAGTTACAAACAAGAATAGTTACTTTGTGTCATAGATGAAGAAGACTCTTAAAAAATATCAATAAATCTTCAACAAATTTTTCTGACACATTTTTACGGAACAAAAATTAGATGAGAATCTTTTGCACAAAGCTCGCCTCGTGAGCGATTCTCATACTTTTAGTTTTTGAAACACCGTCACCCGTTTCCACCCTGAATTCTTTCTAAAAAATCAAAATTGAATATGAAGGTGTCACACTAAACAATCACACAAAGGAGGGGACAAAAGATCACGATAAAAAGCCAAGTTCTATAAAATTTTAATCGCCTTGTATTCAGAAAGTTCTGCGCATACAGACAAGCAGATCAATGTTTTTCACTGTAATGTATCACAATTTCATATCTTTTCAAAACTATTCACCTAAATAGAAGCCACACCAAACACGGGAAATGAACACAGAGTCGCTAACGTGATAAAAACACCAAAACTTCACCAAAAAATCACTAATTTACAGATAGAAAACTGCCACTGGCAGTTTCCACACAAACTGGATCAATCATAGAATCTCCATAAAAGAATGACCCACAATCCTCGAAGGAATGACTGCCAGCAACGAAAGTTCTAAAGACAAAATGAACACAAACACAATTCCTGAGCCTCTAATTTTTTTTACGTATGCTGATGCGGCTTAACGTTATCATGCACTAACAACATTTACTCTTCGCCGACACTTCCGGCATAGTCTTCTCAACTCTTATTCATATCTTTTCATATCGTACAGTGTTCCTCTACAGCTGTACACCAAAATCCAAGAAGTCTGTTTGGATTACTCCGTAAATGTTCCAGCAAACAGTAATTATTCCCTCAGCGAAGTGGAAATTTACCTCGCCTATCCAGGAAAGACACGACTGACATCTACCTACTTTCTGCTCCTTCTCCACCTACCACGTGTTGTTCAGTTTTCATCGCCAGAGACATTCCAGTTCAAAAACGGTTCAGTTTTTCACCGCTAAAGAAAACCTTTGCCGGTGCTGAACAAGCTTTGTCCATTTCGATTTGGTTAGCCTCTGAAGTATCCATAAGGTACTCTGACAACATTATCTTTTCTGTTGCACGGTAGAGTAGACTTGGATTTGGCACGAAGTCCTAATTTCTGGCATCATGCTACAACTAGTCCTTTTCCAAACTAGCTCCTGAGACTAGCCTTAAATTCTGGTCGTCAAGCTGAAACGGTTTACCCGAACGGTCCTCCTTCTCATTTCTGCATCTTCATTAGCAAACTTCTCAAATCATGAGTACACAGCCCGTCGTTTTCTAAGGGACCCTCCATATATACATGTCACTAATCTCTCGACTCATTGCAACAGCGCTGTTTCAGTTTTTCTGTAATTAGTAAAGACCACTCGTAAATCATGATGCTGAATTCTAAAAAAATTTTAATAACGAATTTTAAGGCAGAAAAATAAAAAATAAAAGTGTAATGAG